AACTTGCTGCTTTGGCAAGGGGCGGGGCAGTACTGAAACACCATCTAAGCTGTTCGCTAATCACAACGCACTGGGACTGCTAACCAATCACATCACATTTCGTTTTTCGGAAGGCAGGAGTTCATCAAACCCGGAACTAATCGAGCCGTTTGTGCCAGACTGGGGAGAAAGGTATTGTAATAATGTAAATTATGTAAAAAATAATGCGTTTTTCGAACCACCAAGCATGAGAGCATGTTCTAGTACACCCCCAAAACAAATTCAAGACATTGTAAAAGAGCATAATTGAACCCCTTTAAAACAAATTTAAATATGCATTTGTTAAAGTTTTTAAAATCTTATTAAAATTGTAATTCTCTTTTGAAGCAATATGTTTTAGATGATGTTCTTTGTAAGAAAAACATGAATGTGTTTTTTTATTTTAGAGCCTCAAACAAAGAAACATTTCAGGACTGTGGTCCCTGAGACCTGTCGTATGGACATCTGTCCGGAAAAGGTTCTGCCTTATCTTCATCAATAGTTTGACATATACATCTCAGTCATATATCTCAAAATACCATTTTAGATTTCATTTCAGGTGTGCATTTTTAAATATGACCTTGAAAATGTTTTGTTATATACAGAACACCTCTATATATCCACACTGGCAGTAGAAGTGTGTGTTCACATGTCAAATATGTTGTCCCTCCAGTTTGATGATAATGATGATCTTCACACTTCACCACACCCTGAATGAAGCCAGCAGCCTGAGTCACATGACTGCACAAACATGTAAAGAGACACTCTTAAATCCAAACAAACTTGCTTTTGAATTCTTATTAATGACCAAAAGATTATCTGGAGCAAATACTTTATAATAGTAGTTATTGTTTCTTTTTATATCTGTTCCAGAGTCACTGCAGTCCAGAATGACGAGCCGCCATCCATTTTGCATTGCCAACCGTTGGGTTCTCGAAAGCAGCAGCAGCAGCCATCCACAGATGACTTTCCATGCACACCTTCAAACACAAGTGTGCCAGTTAAAGGGAAGAGAAAAGATATGGATGGCAGGAAAAGAGAGATTTCTGATTCCAGCCTGGATGATCCTGATGAGACGGAAATCAAGGGGATGATGTTTGCTTCCACTCCAGCTAATGAGAGCAAGAATCAGGAATCAACGGTTAGACACAGTCAGACAGAAGCGATGCAGGTTATCACCTGATTTACCCATTTTAAAACAGTTTTTCATAAAATTGTGAATTAGACACACTTGAGTTGGTTTTAACTATTTTATGTTTGTAGGATTCAAAGAAGAGGAAATGTTTGGACCGGCACACTCCTCGCAAAAGCTCTCTTCAGAACCAAAACACGCCTTTTCCATACGGTAATACAGATCTATTATGGACGCTTCCCCTAAATAGTTTACTGATAATCTTGAGTAGTTCAGGATGAATGGTTTTACTGATGTTTTTTGTTTATTTGACACAGATGAGAGCTGGAGTGTTGATCCAGGAGCTGTTCTGGATCAGTATGATATGGAAAGCTCTCCTCAACCAGAGGTACAGATATACACCGAAACATATTGAACCACTAGATTTATTCTACCATTCAAAAGGTTTTTTTTTTTTTAAGAAATTAATAGTCAGCAAGGACGCATTCATTTCAAAAGTGACAGTAAAGACATTGTTCCAAAAGATTTGTATTGCAAATAAATACTGTCCTTTTGAACTTTGAATTCACCAATAATTCTGAAAACAAATGTATCATGGTTTCCACAAAAATATGAAGCAGCACAACCGTTTTCAACATTGATGATAAGAATGTTTCTTGAGCAGCAAATCAGCATATTAGAATGATTTCTGAAGGATCAC